ATCTATGTATGGTAGTACATTGGTCGTTAAGACATGCATAAGATTACATGGTCAGTATAGAAGTATAGATCTATCATACTTACCTTCTTGAACGTTTTGTCAATGTCATCAAACTTCCTTGCTTCTTCAGGAAGCTGTGCTCTGATATCACCACCAATAAAGATACTTTCTAAATACATCCACTTGCGTTGTACAACCATCCACACCTACATGAAACAACCAACTATTGACAGCCAATTGACAGCTTTACTACATTTATTATAAAAAAAATGCACAAAGTAACCATACACTCTTTTTCAGCAGGAAGGTAAAATGAAAATTGCAAATAAAGCGAAGTTACTGCAAAATATTGGCGTGCACACAGGGGGGAGGGGAGAGAAGTGTGCACACAGGGGGAGGGGAGAGGAGTGTGCACACAGGGGGAGGGGAGAGGAATAAAGCTCGTAAGAACCGTTCTTGCTTCACATCATGGCTAGTTTACAGGTGAATCACGATGTCGAGACAAGTCTATTTTCTATACAAGATAGATAAAAACCCATACCTCAACGACTTCTGCAATGTGTGACAGGCTCTTTTCCCATTTATTGACATTCTCCAAAAATGGTCCAACGAACCTCGAGGCAGACATGCTTTGTAAGTTCATAGCATTGTCATCCAGGATTTGTAGGATCTCATCCACGCTGCCCAACACAAACCCACGCTCTTGGGTTCCTTTCATGTACTTGGTGACACTGAACTTCATGTTACCCCACGTCTCGGTCACCTCAGAGATACCCTTCTCTATCCCAAGCTCCTTTGTGGCACTAGCTGTGATGTCAGCGATGACATCACTGAAGTTGTGAAGTTCCATTGCAAACATGTTCTGCAGTGTGAAGGTTTCAGGGTTAAGATCGAACTTCATGCCTGTCATTTCCATCAGCTTTTTCCAGTGACTAAAATTCAATTACGAAACGCTTTCAATAAGTAACTCCTTATTGCTATCTAATAGTTATTTCAACCTAATCTTACCGTTCTCTTAGAGCCTCGTTCTTAAGGTCAGAGAAAAGTGGTATGGAATTCTTAAATTCCTTCATTTTTTCTTCRAGGATATGGCATAATGGTAAGGCCTTGACTTCTCTGGGTAGTCTCTTGAGTTGTTTGATATATCCATCGATACCATCAGATAACAATGATACATCAAGGTTTGCCCATAGTGTATTAGACCATTCATCTCGTGCTGCCTACAAATAGTAAGGTCACAGCTTACTACATCATATATCTCTTTCTTCCTTCCTCGCTTGCTCTCACTTCGTTCTTCCAATTTCTTTTTCGGTTTTCACCTCGATATTTCCTTCATTTTCTTTCATTCCTCTTCCTACGTTGCGCTTCTTTTTTATTTTTTCCCCTTTCTTTCTCTTAAACCTTCTCCCCTATTCCTCCACAGATTCGCGCATTCATTCCTTTCTTGTGCATCATTCCTTTCTTCCTTTTTTCCTATGCAATATACTAGTATTTCTATACCTGTTGACTGGTATAGATAGAGAATATCTGATCCAATCCTTTCAGTTCTTTTTCCATTTGATTCAATTCAGGATACATTGAGATTGGTAAACCAAACAGACGTTCAGCATTAGTTAATTCTTGACGTTCTTTTTCGTACTTGGCAAACTCCTCCTTGAAGCGTTTCAACAATTCTACGCCTATTTGAGACATGAAACAGATATTTAAAATGTATATGACTATTCTGACTTATATTGTATATACCTGCATCAAGGTCTGTACCAACGCTGCTTGGTCCTTCCTCGATGAAACTTTCCTTGAACTTAGAAATGTCTTTAGTGAAGTCTGAAACTTGCTCTTGTGTTATCTAAACATGAGACTTTATTAGTACTACTAACAATGACATTTTGGAGGTCTTGATAGTTTTTGAAGTTCAATGTAGTAAACATACCTCAGTAAACTTCATTTTTACAGACACAAGACTGTAGTCTACACTTCTTGATTCAGCGAACAGATCGTCCCATATTTGGTTGATGTTGTTACATAATTCAAGCTCAGACTCTGGAACCTATACAGTACCAACAAATTCATTAATTCTGACTTGTGCTGTATTGATTTTACTTTTCTGATTTACAAACTGAGACTGGTCGTAAGATTGTCAATACAAAATCTATGTAAGTGATAGGTTTATAACCTGGTTTACCTGTAGATCATACATCAATAATGTACGATATCTTTCCCTGATGTCTGCACATCTCAGCTCCACGTTAAGTGACATGTCTCTAATGTCTGCAATAACCCTGAGTACAAACTTAAGGTCTTCCAGGGTGTCTGGTACTCGCTTTAGATCATTATTCAAGCCCTGAAACAGTAACGATTAAGCACGGAGTTTTTGCATTCAATTTACTCTTGAAAAATAAAAATAAATAGAAATGGACGCTACCTCCAACTCTGTCTTCAGTGTCATAAGGTTCTCCCTGGCCGAATCGTTCAACATTTTACCCAATTCTTTGACCCATGCCCTGGCGTTGGTTTGGATAGTAGTTGCTAAAGGCTCCAGGTTGAGACGCATAAAGTCACCATCACGTGTCATTGCTTGACTACCAACCTGTATCAACCAATAGGGAAAGACTTACAAGATGCTTTAAAGTAGGAAAAAAACAGTCTTCAATTCATAAACCTCGTGATAATAGACCAAATATACAGATTTTATGATAAAGTCTTGATATTTTCACCAGGTCTAGGATAAGTTCTGTATCATTTTATGGTCTTTCATTCACTAAAGAAGGAAATCAAGGATGTCTCACCTCAACTACAAGATTTGAATAAAACTGAAGCTTTTCATCATATGCAATGCATGACGGATTCTTAGATGCAAACTTTTCTACCATGTTGCTCTGTATGAACAAAATAGTTAGTACATAATTGACCTTAGGGTACGAAATTGACATGAGGTCTATAGATAAATGCAGTGCGCAAAATAACACGGATGGAAGATATCTAAATACTGTTTTTAACACTCCATCAGTCTATTCTAGTGACAGAGTAAGTGATCTTTACTTCGACCCAAATGGAATTGTTATTAGAATAGGTAAAATCGCGACAAGCACTACGCACCTTATCAAGTTTCCATAGTAGCCTATATCTTTTCCACCTATTTAAGTACTTGTTAAGGGCGCCAAGTGTACTCTGAACGCTCTTGGTCACCGCAGTAACAAGCTCTACAATAGCAGGATTTGCAGCAATGTCCGTAAAAAAACTGAACACGACGGGTTCGTCCTCGCCCTCGGCATGTTGTGGCGGCGTTTCAATACACGTACCATGCATCCATCGTACGAACTGCTTTGTGCTGTTCAAAACAAATATATATTGACGTTGCCAAAGTGAATGATTCTAAATGACAAAATATCTAACTTACCCTTCAACCATGTCTCTAACTGATTGCATAATAAGCTTATAAATCTCATTAGAAGGTGGAGATAGCACAATCTCAGGTGCAGATAGAACTGTTTCAATCTGAAATAGAGCCTGCTTGGACTGAAGTTGACCATTAAAAAGCTGTAAATTTCGAGTCACCATCTAAAGGGAATAAAAAAAACACCTATTTAAGAGTGAGAACTGTAAATCCCAAACTATCGCTATTGCCCACCAAGAGAAAATGAAAGGAGAGGAAAATACTGAAAATTTTGTAAAAAAAAGAATAGAAATAATATGAACACAGGGGAAATGAAGGGAAAGATGAGGGGGTTAAGGGAAAATGAAGGGAAAGATGAGGGGGTTAAGGAACAAAGACCTCGAAGAAGAACAATATATCAAGCAAGAACATGAAGAAGAAGAAGAACAAAGATTAGAAGTGGGGAAAAGAAGAACAAGAAGCGGAGTACAAGCAAATCCTGGAAAAACAAAACAGAGCAGGGAAACATACCTTGGTGAGTGCTTCGTAGACAGCATTCTCCCAGTATGCATAATAAGGTTGTAGTTTTGGTGAGCGTCCAGTGTTTGTATGAGCTACAAGTCCTTCCATTTTAGTCAGCAATGGGCCAATGGCACGGTACTTTCTTGCCAGGATGTCAAGCTCATGTGTACGGCCTTTCTCAAGGTAATCAAAGTATTCCTAGACAAATTGGAATTGAATGAAAGTACCTGTATGTTACCAACAGCTTACAACTCATTTTGGCGGGCATTTGCGGATCAGAGTTCCTGTATTGCTAAGAAACACTTCATTATTTCAATGGTGACATACCTTGGTATCTGGTAACATATTGTTTGGTTTCTGTGGTGGTGGTTTAAATAGTATTGTATTTTCAATCATTTCTAGTCTGTTATTAATGTCCTTTGCATTCTTCTGGATTTGGTTGACTAATGATTCAAACTTGCCAATAGCCTGACATAATTATAACACAATATGGTCAAGATAACATAATAGTTAAAGAGAGGAATACTGATGTCTATAATATGTTACACAGTCACCATTATCAACACTATCACCGTTTATTACCTGCCCACAGCGTGTGATGTAATCACTGATGCCCAATGAGTTCCAATTAAGTCTCTTAGCTCCTGGTTTAAGCACTCGTTTCAGCTCTTTTATGTGGTCATCTAATAGTTGGGTCTAATAAAAAAACACATGTTGGGATCTACATACTTACAGATATTACAGATCATGAGGACATTACAAAGTGAAAAACAATTAATATATATAATTATGATATTGTAAACAGTACATGTTTTCATATAAACCAACCTCTGCAACATCAAGGCTACCAATAACMGAATGATATCTGTCTAGCATGACTTTCAACCCATCAACATATTTCAAGTATTTCTCTTCCTACAATATAAAAAAATGCAGAATTATGAGATTAATAAGATTATTCACCAGCAATCATATGAAAATCATGAAATCATATGCTGACAGTAGTTTAGAAGGTTTAAAGATGTATATTATTCAAGAGGTTGTTAAAAGGTGACTAAGGGATGATTTTTTTCTTTTCCCAATGTCCCATTACATATTTTGTACACAAGGGACATCCTATCTCCCATGCTAAACAGGTTGACCTTACTGTACATGTACTTCAGACTGTACAATTACCTGTAAAGAGACGTTCCTTGCTAGTTCTGGAACTTGAAATCCAAGTTGTTCAAGATACTTAGTTTCTGTAATGATTTCACCAAGTTCTGGAGAAAAGTCCACCACATATTGTACATTGGGATGGGGAACTGGAAAAAAAAAGAGAAATTAGAAGATACAGTAAAATATGCAATATTCAATTATTACTTAGACATGCCTTCATAACTTGAGAAGAGAATCACTCAGAATATAAAGTCTTGAATTATTATATTTTAAAAATAGGGAGTACGATACCGTGATGATCAGATGTGTCCTCATGTCCTGTACTGTCGTCAATCACACTCCTGTGAGTAGTTGCAGAGCTGCTTGAAGGTTTTGTMAGCAGGTTTTTCTTGAGGTAAATCAACAAGTTAGCCTCGCTTTGCTCTCGCCAGGCTTCATATTTCTTGTCTTCATATTCTTTCATTAGCCTTGCAACRCTTACATACTTCTTGCTTGCCTGTCAATATTATTAGTTCAAGGTTATTAACATCACACMCTTACAGCAAGGAGCTCATTCAAATCACATGATGCCTGGAGACCAKGAATSTGCATACTACTATCATTATCAGTAGACTACCATTGTGMAAACAGAACCAGTACTTACAGCTTTYCCCTGTTCACTGTTTAACATGTCTTCCATTTCTTGAAATCTAAGAATGGTTCTCTTTATTCTGTGGAATAATGACCTTTCCCAGCTTATGGCACCTGCAACTGGAGGTTGATTCTTGAAGACAGGTGGGTGCTCGGCATGCGCTTTGAATAATGAATACATAGCATCCACCTAGACAATTATTATATAACAGTATGAGTTACTAACTGAAAATAATCAAATTATTATTACATATTGATTACAGCACTGTAAGTGTTACAACCATGTTCACTTAACAAATTAGAATCAGCTATGTACCATTGGACAGATCATATTGCAGCTTTACTATTATAGCTTAACATGTAATGGGCCATACAACCAGTTTTGATATCTAAAAGCTTGAGATGCTATAGTATGATTGGCTAATATTATATTCATTACATATAGGTGTATCTCTGTTTGAACACATTACTATATGATTGGTCAGTTTTATTGTTTTATAGTCACCTAAGTAATAGCTGTACTGTGAAATAATGCTATGTATAACATTACTAATGATAGAACTAAAGGATAAAGTTGTTAAAGCAATGTCATTACCTCTTTTCCAAATTGCAGCAAGATGTCATTAAACTTCTTCATCATCTGTGAGTTGATGGTTTCCCTTGATCTTATATGTCTAAAGTTCAACAGCATATCAAAGGCACCTTCAGCAGAACGAAGGGTCTTGAAGGAGTCATCAATGAAATGTTTAGCTTCATTTTCAATGGCTTGCACTTCACGATGGAACCATTCCATGACAGTACGCCAGTTAGCTGTATGGCGAAGACTGAAAGGATCAAATGTCACCTGCAAAAAATTATAATATATTAAACACAGCTGATTTGAGTTTATAACAAGACATGTCATCTTAAGTTGTATAAGATAATTATAATCATTATAATTGTAGAACTTGTATTTATACTAATTGGTTTTAGAAATAATATATGTGATAACACAGTTGTTTTGTTTTTTTAAAGAGTATATATGTAATAGCTTTCAGGGCTCGAAATAACGGCCAGACATAAGCAGGTCAAGATGTCCTTCGAAATTCATTTTTGGAAGGTTATGGCGAGTTTTGAAAGGACAAAAACTTTATTATGCTATTATTTTCTTTTAACTCATAGGTTTTTTGTATCCAGAAAGATCTGCAAGCATTTCAGTGGCTTGTAAAAGATTTATTAGGGAATTGCCCTTTCAAAACCTGAGTTTTGATTTTTTTTTGACCAGCCTTTATTTCGAGTCCTGGCTTTCATAATTATGCACTAGATTGATCATTGTCATTCATTGTCATGACAAGTGATGAATAGCTGCTACGAAACTCCCAAAGCCTTCAGCCTACTAAATGGCTTATGCAACCAGTATTGAATTATATAACTATAAGAAAACTGTCAATGATGAATATATTATGTCTTGCCTTACATTTTCAATTGGGTCCACCAAAGCATCAACTCTTTTCAAGACATCTTCAATGCGTTTTGGATCTCCAGTCACAGCCTTCAGTTCTGGTCCAAAKATATTATAAAACTCTTCCATGACTTGAGCAACTTGCTGTAAATCTTCACAGATTGATGCCATGTAATCTGTCCTTTCAAACAGCCTTTTACGATCAAATTCCCAGCGTGCATCTCTTCCTGATGCCTCAATTTTAGCACGGACATCAAAGTAAGACTCCTTCCAAGTCATCAAAGTCTGCCTGGCTTCAGATGTTTTTTGTTTGACAATATTTGGTGATTCCCTTCATTAACGTACAAAAATATCACCATAAATAAAAGAGAAGTACAAGCTTTCACTTCAGTGATTGAATGAAGAATTGAAGAAGAAATGGGAAATTGAAGCTTTAAATAATTAAAGTAATAAATACATGTATTATTTTTCCAAATCAAAACATTATTGAGTACTAAAAGGAAGTTACTTACTTGAGAATGGTTCTGATGCTCACTGTTTTTGCAACACGTTCACTAAGTTCCCAAGCAATCCTCTCCATAAGAGGTACCATTCTTTCATCTCTATTATAATGTCTTGATATAATCCATACCATTCTCAATGCATTCATCATGGACGGAATGGTCTCAAGAACAATATTGAAGCCTGCTCCATGAGCTAAGTTTTTAAAATGTCTTTCAAGTGTTGACAAAAACCTTACATTGTCTTTGGCTTCAGTGTAATATTTGTTGAGTTCTGCTCTGTGGTATTCAAAGCCTGCCATACTTTCAGAGTTGACTTTCATAAGTACAGCGACTACCTTCTTCACTGTTGGTAATTTAAGCTGCTCAGCTATTGCACTTAGTGTAGCATTACGTTCACGCCAAAAGTCAATCTCTGCAAGAGGACCATTGCCTTGGGGAATCTTCTTTAAGTGTAGCTCCAATGCAGATGAAATAGTGACCTCCCAATTATGAAGTGTTTCTTCTAAAGTGCTGACAAGCTCTGTATCCTTGGCAACCTCAGCAATATCATCACCAATCACTAAATCAGGCATTTCCAACCTAACATCACCCTCAAGCTGGTGAATTGTTCTGTTTATATGTGATGCAAACTTTTGCATGTTCATTAGAAACTCATCTCTAAGTTGGGTTTTGTTATGTGAATCTTCAGATTGTGATTCGCTGGCTGAAACAGAGGTTCTATGACTTTCCCTTCTTTTGTCACCACTTGCATCTGAGGAAGCATCTGACCTGTGACAGCCATTGTAAGACAATAATGGCATGTAAACAAGGGTTAGTAGCTGTTCTAGCATTAAAAGACTTTGGTCATTCAAAGACCCAAAGTCAAATAATGGTGGAAGCATATCTTCAGCTTCATATACATTGGAAGGCAATGGAACTGGACCATTTGTATTACGCAAAAAGTAGAATGCACTGCCATCTACAAAGTCCTCAGGGAGGTGTTCATAGCTCATAAACAAGACTGTCCTGATTACTTTCTGTATGATGATTTTCTGTTAATTGAAAGATATAGAATACTTTAATTAAGGAAYACTTTACTGACATGGTAATAATTTTCATTGTTTTAATCACCCAAGGGCTAAACATTTACAAATGCACCATTAACTGAAATCTTTGCCTTTTTTTCTAATATCTGACATCTSACAAAAACTCTTAATCAGAACATAATGCTGACACTTGCTAAGGCATCACAAGTCATAWTCAATRATAATAATCAATGAAACCACTTACTGTAGCTGGTGGCTTTGGAGATGGTTGTGCATCAGCTCCCTCTTCACCATCCACKGGAACCATGGCCATGCCATCAGCATTGTCACCCTGACTAGCCTCAGCATCAGCCACTGCACCATCAGCATTACTTGCACCACCATCTGCAGTAGGTACCCTCTCCATCACAAGATCACCAGCCTCTGCGCCTTCACCTTCATCTTTTTCACCATCTTCACCATTTTCAAGCATTTCTGGCATTTCTGGTTCTAAGGGTTATTAGTAAACATGTGAATATGAGGATAGAAAGAGACAAAAAGAGACACAAAATTGGGAATRYCCAGCWCTAAATTAGAACTTTTTTATTGTTTTCCTTGTTTTGTTTCTTTTRTTTTGAACAAGAATATTATGATATCTTACAATTTGKTGCTCTGAGACCTCCTAGGATCTTTCAAATCMCAAGACATGAATTCAAAATGTTTTGGAAGAATCCCATTGAATCCCTACTTCACAGAAGAAGCATTGCCTCAGACTTATCATCTTTGATATATTAAGCTTATTTTTTTTTCTGCATTTGAACTAACGATGAGAAATATAAGTGCATATAACTTAAGACTTAATTAGCTTGATGTCAGTAAGCTAAWTTGGTTACGTTAAGAAAAAGAGTTAGCTTAGGCTAACTTATATAAGTAACTTAGTAAGCTTAACTGTGTTAACTTCAAATTCAACAAAGAGTTTGAATACAATTTCAAAATGTCCCTAACCTGCTTCTACTTCGATCTCCTCTTCTTCTTCCCGAAGCATTGAATAAAAAATCAAACTGCATCCCTCCTTTGGATCTTCGTTCAAGAACCTGAGGAGTTCACTCTCGTTTATGCCTTCATCTCTCGTCAGTAGGTCTTCAAACACTTCTGGGTCTGTGATGCCAAGACTACAGTACACTTTATTTCGCATCCATTCAATTCTTGCGTCATCCATTTTGATAATATTTACAAAAAAACTAATATACAATTATAAAAGAACCTTAGGTCTTGAGTGATATACACTATTTCGATGGTTTTGGCGCCATTTGTTCCTTCACGTCAACTAAATTCTCGGCGCCATCTTGAAACTTGAAGCGTTGCTATAGAGATCGTATGTTTATTTATATGGATGCCACAGGGAACCCAAAGGGAACAATCCGATSCAAAATTTAGTACTCTGACCATAGGCCACCCAACTATTTCTGAAATGCTCCCTTTCTTAAAATTAGTAAGTTTCATTTTTGAGTCTGAAAGATATTCAGTATTCCTAGACCTCTGTACTATGTAGTAGTAATTGACTGTCGTTTATGCATTACTTGCTTTAGAATGGAAATAGACAAAATATCCTCTAGCAATTAATTTAAAAAAGACAATAATTTGATCTAGCATATAAGCAATTCAGCAAACATTCCTTCAAATCTTTATTTCATTTAAAGACTAGACAATAGCACAATAATGATTGATGTTAGCAGCTTCACATTTTTCACACTTATTTACAATTTTTGAATTCAACTTTTAGACTGTTTTTTTATGAATGCATTATTATGTCATTAAACATACTACATTTTGGAACCATGAGACTGAGGAGACTGTTCTTTATGTCGCCATCCCTTTTCAGGGGAACCAAGTGGTGAAACAACTATTTTACCCACATCATCTTGCAGTTGTTGAGAAGACTGACCCCTGGACATACCATGATAACTTGAGGTTCTTCCTAAGAGCATATCACCTGCTGAAATAGGGGGTARTGGCTCAGGTGCAGCTCTTACAACAACTTGTGGTTCTGGCCTGACACCACTTCTCAAAAACTCTACATATTCATCTTGATGTGGTTTGTCTTTTTTTCCTGATTTTGTAGCATTTCTAGCGATTCCAATGCCAGGTCTTGGRGGAGATGAACCTCGCTTAGGTCGAGACGGTAAACCTTTACTTGCTTTAGCAGATGAAACAGCAAGCCGCATTTCATGYGGTGAAGCTTGTATGCCAATAGCTCGTTGGGATTTGGATTTTTGTACTGAGAGATCTACTGGACTGGGTGAAGTTGCTGATCGCCTCATAGGTCTTCTGTATTTTGAGGGKGCACCCTGTGATGGAGGAGAYGGTGTGATAGGAGGAGATGGAGGTGCTGCATGACCATGATCTTTTATTTCTGGATCAGTGATGGTAGATGGCACAGTTACCTCTCCTATAGTTGTATTTTTAGCTCGTTTAGAAGCATGTTTTAACTTGACTTGGTGTAGTTGGGTAGTAAGATAAGCTATGGTATCTGATTTGGTATTGAATTCTTTAGTAAGATAAGCTATTCTAGAGTCTCTTTCTTTGATATCATGATTGTATCTTTGCTCAAATCCCTTCACTTGGTTTTCCAGCACAACAATTCTTTTATAACCAGTGTCAATAATAGCCTTCAAGTCGATGTTTTCAGCCTTTAAGGCCTTGACTGATTCATTGAGATCATGATTTTCTTTGGTTTGTTGAGCTGTTAAAAAACAATAAATATTACATTTAGATTCTCACTAAAACCWGCAATTTGGGACTTTCTAGAAACCCATATTTAACCCATATAGAAACTCATAATCTTAGGCATTTTTTTAAACAAAACTTGTGATCATGATAACAGTTGTAATAAACCTTTCTTTCTTTTTTAATAATTTTGAACAAAAAAGCAAAAGAACTGGCAAACATAACAGAACCAAAAAAATAAATAGTGACAAAACTCTCATGCTTTTTAAGTTATACATGTATTTACCAAAAAATTGGACCTGATTTATATATGAATTACCAAAGTGAAGTATGGACGGTCTGGCATTCGAAAATCTAAAGATGGCAGATTTGTCATTCTCAAGATAAGTATAATTGCTTGCATTTGACAGCCCTGTTTGTCATTCAAATTTGTTTTGTTGTTCTTCAATTCAGTATTGGTACTTCACATCTATATAAGTATCATGAAAATGGAGTTACAATGTTAGGTAAATGACACCACTCAAAAGGGCTGTTAAAACCACTAACGCTTCATGATATTCATGATTACACAAGACTCATGACGACAGGTGTTCATCTTTTTTGCCATATCCATTTTAATGACAATGCTTTTTTCCTTATTTGTAAACTTTTAATTTTATACATTTTTTACTGAAAATAAATAAATGCTTTTTTCATCCTTTTTTTTAGCCATAACTGTTTTATCCAGTACACTAATTTGCATGTGGATAAATAATTGATGTTTGGAAAGTTTTTCTAAAGAACCATCTAGTAATACAATCTACAGGAGAATCAATAGAATCAGAGTCTGATTATAGCCCTTTACGAAAAACGCTGGGTCCAGATTCTTATCATCCATCTTTCATAAATTTAAGCTTACTATAGCTAGGAAAAATCTAAAGTTGCCATCTCAAGATATTTCAATCTATTAGYCGTTAAACTGAATTATAATCTAATGAGATGATATGTAAGATATGTAAAGGRACATTATATAAACTCAAAGATAAATGACACCATCAGCTCCGATTCATCTTTAGTCTTTTCTACTAATAATCACACTTACATGTACTACTTTCATTTGATGGCGAACTGGTAGCGTTCATGGCCAATTTGAACGTCATTTCTGAGAAAAAACGTCAATACTTTAGAAACAAAAATCATCAAAGCGACAAAGCATCTAAACAACTCAAAAATCAACCAACCTCCGCATTTTTTCTGTAATTTGCTGATTTCGGAGTACAATCCCTGTAATGTTTTGGCATGTTCTTGTTGCATGAACAGTATCGAACTTTCGGCATTTTGTAGCTGTAATCGAACCTCTGATAACGAACCGGCCATTTTAACTATACAACAAATTTCTGGTCAATCAAATAAGCTCTAAACGTCTTATGGCTCTTCTTTCTCCTCAACAAACCATCGTCTCCAAGATGGCTTCTTTCTCGTTGCTACGAACACTAAATATTATGAAAGCTATATGACGTCATGAAAGTTAATACTAACGCGCTTTCCTATTGGTTGGGACTAGTTTAAGTAAAAAGAATTATAAACTCTTGTGGATCTATACAAATAATTCATCTACTTTTCGGCGTAACTCTAGGTCTACTGCAATTTGAAAGAAGCTATTTTTGAAAATAGCAAAATTAGTGTGAGTTTATAAACTGGAATTACAGTAAACTGACTGACAAGCTTGGGCTTCCTGTGCAAATAGTATAGCCGCTGACAATATCAGGCTCAGAATTTCAGATTTCACTAATAAATTCGCATTTTCACTTTCGATGGATGTCAGGAGAAATATTATCATTGCTGGCTTCTAAATTAATGTGCATTGCAATAACGAAACATGAATATCGTTGTGTGGGAATGGGAGGGAGATCATAACATTTGGACTCCATATAGTGCAAATGTAACACATTATTTCGAGACGAGTGCTCAAAGTGGTAAAATGAACGTGAATCTTGGTGATGTTGACCAAAGTTTAGCTTGTTATGTTGTGRATTTAAAAATGAAGACACAAACTCGCTTTGACACTGGTAAGATTCACCCACCTTTCATTACATTGTTAAAATACTGTTAGACTCGTACAAAGATGATCCACAAACACTTTGCTCTGCTTTGCTGTGGGAATGCAGCCACATCTGGGGACAAACAAAAACTGCTTCTATAAAAATTCCTAAGATAGCAAAAATCTTTTGTTTTGTCAAAAAAAAATTGTAATCATTCTTTCCTACATGGAAAAACTTTAGAATTCTATTTGAGTCAAGCACCAGCAGCCATTGAACAAAAAAAGAAAGTAGACCATGTTACAAATGCTTGTGTTGTTAGTATTTTAACTTTTGTCCTTAGGTATGATGAGACGGGTCAGGAGAACTTTGTATCCATCATTTTATCCATGTGGCCAGGGAATTTCATGGCAATGGTATAATGACGTTAGATGGGTATCATACGACATGGAAACAGCACATACTATTGAAGAACAATACCAGAAAAATAACAAAAGTATTAGTATTGATCTTGAAGTCACTAGGCTTGGAATCCCTAACTGTATTGAACTAAGTAGAATGGTGCAAGTAAACAAATTTACATTAACTGAGAGGAAAATKCAAAGAAAAGTAGACAATTCTTTCCAGTATCCTAGAGACAGTGAAAATTCTGCTTTAAAAAGTCCTTCGAACACTTTTAAAAATACATCACTGTCTTTGTCAGCACATGGTACTATTCCAGCTGCATCTAGTTCCCRCACACAATCTTTGAATAATCATGATGCATCAATAGAGAAGGAAATTCAGAGTCCACACAAAAGAAAGAAAATGACTGGTAATGACAGCAATGATCCAGTTCTATATTTGTACTGCAAGGCTTCCACCAAACATGATGATTTAGATGAGGTATRAATTACTATAAAATAAGAATATTGATAATTTGCATTTTGTAAATGTGACAGTGTCYGCTGGACATGCGGGCCCATAGCAGGGTTAGAATTATTGGGCCAGGTGTGCTTTTCGAATTTAATTATTTTAAAATTATTGAGGGGGGGAGGGGGGCTGAGACCCCTGAGCCCTCCCCATTACAGGTCTGGCATGTCTAATAAGTAATGATATAGGTTGTTTGGAAATGCACTTGAATTACAGTTAAATAGATAGGCTCCAATTGTTTTCATTATCTCATGGACAATTTCTTTCTATTTTAGGAGTGCTCCATTTGCTTTGAAAAGCTAAAAGATATTTCTGGTTTTTATGACAGCAGTTTAAACGCTGCATCAAATGTTGATGTACGAGAACTGAAAAAATGTCCTCACAAGTTTCATGGTGCATGCTTACTAGCACTTATAAAAACAAGCGCCAAGGTAATAGACAAAAAAGATGCATGGAAGATATTTTGAATAGTTGATGTYAAAAGTGATGCAATTTCTTTAGAAKTGTACTACATATTTGCTGATTTCTTTCTAGGAGGGRTGGCTGCAATGTCCAACATGTAAGGTTATACAAGGAGTAAAGCAAGGAACTCAGCCTAAAGATGGTACAATGAATATATCAAGACAAGGACAAAGTCTTCCTGGTCATCCTGGCTGTGGTATGATCACTATCACATACAACTTCAAATCAGGAATACAGGTATATAGACAAACACATGAATAAAGTATTAAAAGTAAATAAATGAATGGGAATGTGAATAAGCAGAATAAATTGCGTGTCTGTACCAATGAATAAGAAGACATGTTTAATAATTCTTTATCCATTGTGAATAGGGTCAAGAGCACCCTCATCCTGGTAAACATTACCATGCGTCAGGATTTCCAAGATTATGTTATCTTCCAGACAATGCTAAAGGTCAAAAGGTATTTACACCAATCAACCAATGAAAAACTATTACAACCACAAAATAATAATCAAAGGGATGCTGTGATCCAAAAATCTTTAAATATTAAAATGATAATATTCATTGTTTAACTCCTGCAGGTACTAAAGTTGCTGCAAAAAGCATGGAAAAGAAGACTCATTTTTACAGTAGCAACATCCAACACTACAGGACAAGATGACACCATTGTATGGAACGAAATACATCACAAGACTGAACCATTTTCCAACATTTCTGGTCATGGTTATCCTGACCCCAATTACCTGGATAATGTCTTAACTGAGCTATCTATACAAGGAGTTGATGATGAATAGAGAGTATTATACAATTTGTCAAAAATAGTACATTTATAATGRAGAATTTATGATTAGTATTAGGACTGCTTTAACTGAGTAGCTGAYATTTCAAAGCTGAATTTTTTTGCATAATATGTTTTAACCATAAATAAGCATTATTAGAGAGAGTCCAATTAAATTAAAAAACTKTATTTAGCAAGAAAAAATCAGAAGTATCATGAAATTGCCCATGGTATGATAGTTTTAACCGTCAGAATGTCATATGATATAATGATGATATTGCCAATGCCTCTTGTTTGCCTGGATAGAGTGCATGCAACATAAGAGTAAAACAGTTCTTAACAAATTAGCGCCTGATAAGATTTAGTTATCAACTAGCTAAGAATTCAGTGAGGCATAAACAAAGACAATTTCCATTTTGGCATTGTGTCCATGCCCCAGTGAATTCTTAGTTAGTTGATAACYAAATCTTATTAGTTGTTGATTGTTAAGAATTGTTTCATGCTTTTTTGGCGTGCACTCTACTCTCTTGGCATAATTAATGTTTGCAATGGATGGATAAATGGAAAACTATGTAAAAGCTTGGTTTCCCTGTCTCACTTCACTTGCTCTTCCCTAAAAAAACATGGCCAAAATAGGCCAAAAAGGCATTTCTATTCTAGGCAACAGTGAAATTATAAGTTTAAAAATAGCAGCATAATAACAAGGATGAGGTGCCATAGCCCTCTATACCATGACCATGATCCGTGATTTTTTTCCAATGCAGTTATCAATTGTCAGTTATTTTTGTGCTTCCGGTGAAACCTTGACTGGAGGTCTTCCATGCTTCTAAGTGCTCTCAGATGCCACTGAAATTATCTTTCATGSTGGTTGTCTAAATGAGGTCAAAAACTATCTTATCAAGTGGTTAAAATTAGTATCAGGCCTGTAGGCTGCCTTACAAATGGGGGGGATTCATGTTATTTTTTTTTTTTTTTTCATAATGCTGATCTAAATTAAATGTTTTAGTTCAATGCAAAGGTATAGTGTGTAAAAACTGCCTTCTAGAATGAGCAGTTCATAACAAAAGAATTTGAAACAAAAAAGAGAAACACTGGACCTTGTAAGCTTGTGGGGGGTATGGGGGGGGGGGGGGGTATTGTCCAACCCGTCTAAAATGGGAAGTATTGTGGTCTTGATAGTAAAGATGCAATTATAGGAATGGTCTATTATATCCAAAATGGTAAAAAAAAACTTCTGCTCTTAACACAAGAAACCTCCATCCACAAGTGTGTTCTGAGCAGTGTRTTTATTTTCCTTGCAAGAGTAGCCTGCTAACAGGTGTTCCTRCTGGGGGGCTGAGAAGGAATGGGGAGGATGAGCGGAAGGGAACGCCCACTGGAGGCTATTGTTTGTTTGAAATACAACGTTCACTATAGCCTCCAGCAGGTGATCCATTGCACTCCTCCCCACTCCTTCTCAGCCCCCAGCAGGAATGCCTGTTAGCTGGCTATGGCAAGAGTGGTTGTCCATTTTTTGCAAACACAGAGTGCTTCAAGAAATAATTTATTTCACCACTATTACACGTTTACAGTGAGTTCAGAATATATGTACAGAGTAATAGGATAGTATACACCCTTTTAATAAGTCCCGAGGTATTGTGTTCTCCGCACTTGACGTCAAATTTATTCTTTTGAAATTTTTACAATACAAAAGGAATTGAAAAGAATAAATTTGACGTCAAGTGCGGAAAACACAATACCTCGGGACTTATTAAAAGGGTGTATAGCAAGAGGTGGCAAGTGAGTTTTCAAAAATTCCAGGTCCACAAAATTTAACAAGTCTTGGTCTYGTGGGAAAAATCAATAGTCTCAGCCTCGTGTAAAATCTGGAATTCACTATTCACCACCCCTATGCAATATRGTAACAAAATTCACACTGATGCATAATTTAACTATTGATATCTTTCAGTAACAAAATCTTTGAAACCAATTATGGTTCTCGCTTACATATCAACCTCCTCCAGACTGCATGCAAACTCATGAATAAAAGCTCAATGTTCCRGTGCTCTAGATTTCTTATTGTATTGCTGAAAGAATTTTCTTTTTTCTAATTTCTTCAAAGACGACAAGGAAAAAATTCAAGTAAAACCGTACCTATTTTTTTTTTTTTTTTCATGTTTTTTTTGTTGTATTTTTTGACATACYGGTACACATGGCAATATTGGGAATCTCGACCCTGAAAAGTTCACACTGGGAAAAATATTGTTGTGTTTTTAAAAATATATATTGGATCAGTAAATTCCCCTCTGGGAAATTTCTAAATCCGCCCCTGTAATGCMAAATTTATGAGGCCTCTCGGATACACCTTGAAGTTGGGATGGGGGTTGTTCCCACCRGTAGAATCCCGAAGGAGACATTCTTCATAAGATCAATGTTTATACTATATTTTCATGAATATTTTTATTTACGGTAATATGATTTCATTTATATACTACCTATGATCTGTCATTAGCTGTTCAATATTGTGCCATCTTGATGACTTATAAATCAAGTACATTTGAAAATACAAAATTAATTGCCTGCCTTTCAATGGCAGTTACTTCTGGATGCCATAAATCAAGTATTAGGACAATCCTGTCTCCTTTTTTGCCATTATGCCAAACTTCATGCAAGTAAGAATCATCAAAGAGCAAGATATTGCCTTCTTTCCACTGTCTTTCCTCTTGGTCTACAGATATTGCACATCYATCAGGGATTTCCAATGGTAGATGACATCTAAGTCTACAGTTTGTAGGCCCATAGTGTGGAGTTATGTGTGTACCAGGTTGAACTAAGGAAACTACAGCATTTCCAAATGCACAGTCTTTCATAAAGGGCACCACGGATTCTATTAGTTTAGTAGTAAGTGGACATTTCTTGCAATTTCTTGAAATCTTTTTGCCTTGGTTATACAGATGATACACAAACCAACGGCCTGAAGGACAAGTATTACTTAACCAGCCACAGGATAAATCGTTTGTAATACTGTTTACCTCAAGTTTGATTTTTTCAAGGTTTCCTAGTAGATGTTGGAGTTCAGTTGTGTACCTGGTATGCCAGGCCTGTGACGTCAGTCCCAACAAACCAAATGTTGTAGGCCTCTGCCGCACACAATCTGAATTATTGTCTCCATACAACAAAGACTCAAATAACCGTTCAAGCATCTCCAACTTGGCGTTGGTCTTAGACGCAAATTCATCTAGTTTTTTAATTAGAAGGTCTCGTTGCAAATTAGCAGACCTGCATCTAACGCAGCTAGGCGATTTGCACGTGTTCGATTTGGATGTATCTGGGTACTGCAAATACTGCCTTAAAAATCCATTGAATACGACAAGAGAAAAGAACACAAACACAGCTAYAACACCATTGATAACCACATAATAAAACACGTTGTCTTCCTTAGAATTAGCCTCAAACATTTGAGAGTCCCCTGAAAGATTCCTCCTCACAGCCGCCATTTTGTTTTTACTAGTTCCAGTCTCTCTCAGTGTCAGCTCATGTCGCGGCATTATTTTGGCTATCCTCCGTGATAGGATGCTAGCCTTCATTATATCCGATTTTTACCTGCAGACAGTATTAGCAGGTTGAATCAAGATCTATGTATGTAATGCAGGCTTACCTGTTTCCTAGAGTACTCTCAAATTTACACGCTCCCTGTGTTAGCTGAATGAGATAGACTGGACTATCGGCAGAGGAAAGGGATTTGACAAGGATGATTTCAAAACTTTTCATGTCAAGAGAGCTTGGAAACTGCACCGGAAATATTCAAAGGAGAAAAATGATAACAATTAAGAAGGGTAGCAAGGTGACTGTCAAATACCATGCTGAAGGTACTATTAATAGCAGTTTTAAAAGGGCGTATGATAAAAATCTAGTTCGGCATGTTACGATATTTATGTATTGTATCACTACAAATTTGGTGAATCATAGTTTGACCTCAGATTTCCAGACGAATATAAAGAAGATTGAAATCATGGAATGCCAGATATTTTATATCCAGCATGCCATTGTAAGTAACGTCAATTATTGCTAGTCATTAAGTGCATTGTTTCATAACAATCACTTCATTTTTGGTAACAATAAACAATGAAAAACTGGCTGAGACTGGTATTAAAGTTTTCAAGCCAAGGTCAGCGATAATATGCGTCATGAGAAAATGACCAGCGACGGCTTTCTGTCGGCAGCAAATGTTTTGCATTCGTTGGAAATCGGCTTTGTATGTGAGTGTATAAACCATTTTTTTTGACTTTCATCATACCCAACGTATCGTTTGTAGTACTGTGCACTTAGAGACTGAGACATGCGCACACAGAGGAGTTCAAAGGACAAAGGTAGGCATACCTTACTTCTAGTGGCAGTTGCTTGTAGTTGTGAGAGCACCGTCATCATGCTGATCAGGTGAGCTGAATACAAATAAACAACCCCCTAAAAACTTGGACTATCGACGCCAGACCAAAAATAATCGTGTTTATGCGTAGAAATAAGAGAAAATTTTAATGTGGTCTAAGATCTTTCAAAAAAACAATTTCCAATGTTGATAATTTGTAAGCCGAAGAATTAATTGTTGATTAGGTCATTTGGCACTGAATGACTTCAAATGTCGAAGCTTATATATTGGTCTGTCCGTAATCAGCCGGGTTTGAATCAAGAAAAATCAATTTCAATAGTTTTTAATTTCATTAGACATTTAATAATAATTTTGGATATTACGCGATATTAAAATTGTTGAATATTGTAAGCATTGCCCTCGTAACGTTGCATTGGGCAAATGAATGCAAAGCGAGCCGCGCCGTCTACAGTAGCCAGTTTTGATACTCTAGTTTATCAAAGCTAACATGTTTCTTCGACAACCTCTTGACTTATTTGCAAGCTTTTGCTACCCTGGTTCCAGAGGTTTAATATTTCTCAAAAACCAGGGTAAGATTTTGCAGCAGCTTAAAACAATATTGCTCGGCATCATAAGCTACTTACTGGTATAAAATATATACTATACTCGATCAAAGTCAAGGTTTTCTTGACTGTAGTTGTTAATTCTAATTCAGTGTCCTGATGATTATCACTTCGCGACACGCTAAGTATTTTTAAACCAAACATTTTTACTTTATATTTCAGGCAATTTAATAAGCAACAGATCATTCAACTATCAAGTTTTCACTCGTGGAACTACTTTTACTAGGTCCTAGGTATAGTTTCTTTCTGTTTGAAGTTTACTATGTGCGTTGAGTCATTTTGAAAAATTATTCAGTTCAATGCGATATAGTTTGCCATGACAGTATAGATTACCCGACTTGTACTATGATGTTAAACGTTGTTTTTTGCCAATAAAGGAAAGACGATTACTATTTCACTGGGGAGCTGCAAACTATATTTACCGCGTACACTTGCGACTTTCCCAAMCACAAAAGTTTGCCTTGCTTTCGCGAAAGAAAACAAGGGCTCGCTGTAAACATTCAGCTAAGCCAGTCAGAACGTTCAATTCATCAACTGCGTGAACACTTTAACATGCACATTTAATATTGTCAGTCCATCATTGCTGCTCGTGTCTCTATTATACTTTTAAGTACAGGCAAGAGTATTAAAATGCTCTTGCCTGTTTCGCTGGGTTGAATCCTTCTTAGCGGTTCCTTCACCAAACGCGTGAGTTTAATCCTAAAGTTTGAATCAACTTTGCTAGCAAAGTACTTTACGCATTGTGTTTACTTCACTCTCTCGACTTGATTCAAAATCCCAGTTACCTCAATAGGTAACTAACGCAACTAAATYAACTGGTGTCCACTAGGGGCCTGATTATCCACGTGGTGGTAGTACTGTACTTTGGATGTAGATACATCGCGCCTGTATGTCTTGGCTACATCAATACAAGGGGMAGCCATCTAATCGATGATCTTATCATGTCTCTTTGAGCAACTTTCCGTGAGGTAAGGCACACCAGTGAACTACGACTTAAAACCTGCCACTTTTGCTAGTATAGAACCGATCACTGAAATGTATGACTATTTCAAAATGAGGTTCAATATGGCGGCCTTGTGGACTTTGAGCTTATAGTATACGTAGTGACTCTTATATAGAGAAACAAATGGGCCTTTTAGATTTAARATATAACTTGATTTTCATTCATAACAATTGCTATCAAGGTCTTTTTGAAAATACGTGCCAATTACGAAGCCAATTTCTTTTTACAAACACAATGTCAAAAATACAATGTCGACATAGTCAGGTGCGAAGGGAATTTAAAGATGGAAAAGAATTGATTTGAATTATTTAAGGAATTCATGGGAAGATAATCATAAGGTTACTTGAGGTTTGGAGCCATTYACGACAAGATTTGACAAAGAATCATTTAATAGAGTCATTTTCAACCGTCTGTGAAACAATTACTACTAGTCAGTGTTTAATAGTAACTAGAGTGATTTTCATCGGTCTGTGAAATAGTTCCTACGCTAATAGACGCTAGTAGACTCTACACCCCTTGCTTTCTTTTATTGTAATACAACTATTAGACACTATTAAACACTGACTAGTAGTAAATGACGCTACGATTAGGGTGTACTGAGTAGGCTACTAAAAGGCAAAATCAAAACCGTGTTTGCCTAATAGTTTGTCGCATGGCATAAGTTTTAAACTATTTGGAGCTAATCGGGGGTAATAGTATTTAATAGTACAATTCCTATTTCACAGACGGATGACTCTAGAGCAAATGAGTACGAGTAAAATAGCATGAAGTGCGCACATGTCCTCTGAAAAGCATTGCAACAACTGATTTTTATATCATTTCAACTTTTATTTCGATGTTATTTCTATCATTCAATTTAACTATTTGGCCATCCATTTGTGACTTAAGAGATCTTTCACTTTATCTGAAGTTGTCATGGACTTGTCGCAGAAATCTTTGTGAGCTTCTTGTGCTTCACTTGCTACTTCCCTGTCTGTTTTTTTCTTCTTCCTCTTCTCGCTAGGCTCATTTTTGTTTACTTCACCCTCACTGACCACTGTCAGTTGGCGAAAATTCTTTGTACAAATTATTTTGCACCTTCCGCTGTGCCGGGGTTGCTTTCGCTGTTTATTTTATCTGGTTTGATTGTACTTCTTCTTGTCCCTGTAATTAAATATGTTTCGACGTTGTACTTGTAGAACGTGGATGTAGCGGGGAAGCAACAGTCTTCTTAACTATTCTTCATACGGTTGATAACCCTTTCTATCAGTTCCCAAATGTTGTGGAGGCTATATACTCCACTCCACATAAAATATATCGGCCGTTAATCGGGCGTTAGAGGCCGTTCTACAGTGCTCACCGCCATTACCATTGTTCCAGCACTCAGCTGTGGTAGTTAATAAAGAGGGTCATCTGTGTTTTGTGTAAAATGGGTTTCTAGGAATCACTCATTATGCGACTGCATGCATATAGGCTTTTGACATATCTTTAGACACTTGTAATATCATGCCCGGTTTTTGCGGCAAAGATCTTCAGTTTTTTTCACTTAATTTCAAACTAGGCTGTGCATGATTATAGTAGTTCAATGTCGCACCTTTATTAAAGTGAAGTGAAGACTCCGTTTGGGCCTGTACAACCCCCTAAGCTTACCTCACAACGCCACATTTTTAGCCGACATGCAAAGCATATCCAGACTGTGGGTCCCTACTAACGCCAATACGAGCAGCACAAATGTGCTTATTATACATCCTGGAGACCGAAGACGTGCTCGTAGGCGAAAAGACGCATTAAAGTAGAACATGTTTTCTAACATGAAAACCTATAATAAGGATATAGGAATCATCTGGAGACATCCGAGATGGTTGATGCCTGTATCGAGCTTGTGGCATTTTTTGCGAGGTTGATCTTTTCCAACAAATATGAACGGAACGCGCATTATGCATCGCATGCTATATACAAACTGTCCTTGAAGCACAGCAATATTTTATTGGATGTTATGAATAGTAAAAAATCGCACCAGCATAGGTTGGAAACAGTCCAACATTCACAGTTTGAAAATAAGATACATAAGTCTACTCAAGAATACTGTCTGATGAGTGCATAAGCACGAAACTCGGAGTAACAGCAGATCTTGCCTCTTCGTTATTATATATACACATAGCTCTACACTATCGCCGTGTATTGAGCACTCTTTAATGAAATCAGCTACTTCGCCAAATACATAAAATCAGAAAAGAGTTGACTTCCTATAGATCTATACTTTTGTCAAATATTTGTTTGTTGARCAATAAAAATCAGTTGTTGCAATGCTTTTCAGCTGTTTCACTGAAGCATACAGGCACTTGAGCAATTCATCATCATACTATTTCAGGCACATTCAGGTTCTTTTCACTACAAGCACGATGGACAATTAGTCTCGATGAGTTTCTTATTTCATTCCTTTGAGGACAAAGAACAATCGAAACCGCGGTTTCGAAAACGCATCAGCAGTTTGGACAAGACTCTTTGTCGTATGGCTGTAATGGAATATCGAGGTTATCAAAACGTTTTGCGAGGACTAACTTTATTGTCAGGGCCTTAGCCAGAGCACCATACAGGTTCGCATCAAGTTTTGTCAAGTCTTGCTAC